GAGTTAATGACAGAAGATAGAGCGCTAGCATAGGATCTGTAGCCAAAAAAATAGACAGGATAAGAGGTCGGTTAAGTAAAAATGTCCACATTTTCAATTTTCAGTCTTGCAGTCTTGTTTTTTTCACTCATCTTGTCCTTTGGAGAAATAACATGTCTTTCAGGACAGTCACTGGAAGGTAGATGTCTATGATATTGTTCTGAAGCAGAAACTGTTCAATAGATTCTTTTCTTTAAAATTAGTATGGCAAAGGACTGTCCAATTGATTTCATTTTCTGCCAAGAAAGTGTTCACTGTTGTAGTTGAAGTATGACAGTCCACACATTACTCTTTTGATATTTCATTTTCAAGTTAATTTACCCCAGAATCATCTGAAGAGTCATTCTTATATAAACAATATATTCCAGAGTTGCTCTGCCTGGTCTGTGGTGGTTGGCAGTGCTGAAGAAGATGTAATACAGTGAATGCTATTTCTATTCTGGCTTTGACAGTCCTTTGAAAGCTCCTTATCCTCCATAATAGCAATTAATAGTGGCTGCATGTCGAGAGAGCACATTTGGCTACCTGAGGAAGAATATCATAGTTCAATATGCTGCACAGGAATCTTGAGAAACATTTTTCCCCACCCCATAGTATTTGCTTCCTTGAAAATGTTGCACATTTATATAGTGTCAGTAGTGACAGTAATTACGTTACTGTTTTTCAATTCCAATGACATGGGACAAAAGAGATGCTATTGAAGTCTGATGATCTCTGTACAGGTATTTCATTATACTTTAGTTTATATAGCACCTTTATCTAAAATCTTAGCATGCCTTACAGACATGCAGTCTCATAAAACTCCTGAGTGGTGGATAAGTATTATAGCCAACTTCAGCAGGTTAAACGAAATCACACAGATGTGAAGTGGCATGCATACAACGAGTCAGAATCTAAAGAAGGAGAACCAAGTATTTAATTTGGATGATAAGATTCCCAACTTTTAGCATATGGATTATGAGCAGTTTCCAGTAAACATATAGCATGGCAGGAATCAAGCCTCAGATAAATGACCCAATGTAGCTGTTAGAAAATGCCTCATTTGGTGATTGCTTGTTGATGAGAAATAGCCTGTATCAGGGAACATGGAAGATAACTGTGGTCTTGTTTTGGGGATTAGTGGGACTAAAAAAGGATCAGCAGGGTTGTGAGTTCCATCCTTGAGGGGGCCATTTAGAGGTTAGGGATTGGTTCTGCTTTGAGCAGGGGGTTGGACTAGATGACCTCCTGAGGTCCCTTCCAACCCTGATATTCTATGATAACAAATAGCTCCATATTTTTTGCTCTACCAGTCAAATGGAAAATGTTCTGGGAACACGAAACATGCTGAACCCAGTTTTTAAATGTGGTCATCTACTTTAGGAACTCAAATTCCACATTCTGAGGGCTTATGATGACACTTGGGCACATAAAATATATAGGCTACCAAAGAGCCTATATCCGTGTCCATGTATGGGACTTGTTCAGCATCCACATTTCTGCACTGGATCCTCTGTGGAGAAAAGCTTTGAAAATACTACTCTGTGGTCACTTTAGTGCTGCATCAATTGAAATGCAGCTCAAAATGCGATGTGGAGCTACCAGTTGTCATTTCACAAAGTGTTATGCTGAATCTGGAAATTTGCATAATTTAATTAATTATGCCACTAAAAACTGATTTTCTCTCAATTTAAAGCAAACAGCTTTTATGAGGGTGAACTACAGCACCCAGGGATATCAGGTGTCCAAGCTCTTAATCCTATTACCAAGAGTTGACAACCACTGATGGAAACTGGAAAACATAAGCCTCCAGCAGGGCAACAAGTAAGGAGGAAAAAGGCAACAGATTTTTTAAAGCTTTTTGAAACCACTGTATGGTTTATAAAATCAATTTTTTAAAAACAACTGAATTGGCAGCTTGCACTTTGTTGTTCAGAGGGTGAGTACTGTCTGAGGGCTAACATTTATTTTACTTAGACATAAATGAAAATAACTATCTCCTCTAGCAGGAAAGCTGTTGAACTTAACTACCATAACAAAAATGCAGCAAATGGCCAGTGTTTGCTATTTGTATCTATGCCTGTCCACTTACAGATGTTTAAGAGTGCAAGATGCTGTACCTTGTAAGTGGTTTCTAATGTTATGGGTTGGAGACTGGCTATGAGTCATTTTGATTGTAAAGTAATCTTGGCAGACGATGTCAGATTCCAAGTATCAAAGTATCAGTCACTGGCTAAGCACTACCTTTAATATCAGTGCCTCCTTTATTTCATTACAATATCGGTTTTGAGGAAACTGAAAACAATGGGTACAGGTTTTGCTGAGGTTCTCATCTTTGACTACATATGAAATGCCATAACCAGAAATCCTATGACTGACCTTGCTAAATTCTGGGCAAGTCAGGAAAGAATATAACAGTTGTAGTAACTTACTTATGACTCCATCCTTAGAGCCCTGTGTGGTTACAAAATTTGTATCCGCATCCGATCCATGATCTACAAACATGGTCCGCGGATATCCACAGATATAAAGCGGATATCCACAGATCTGCAGGTCTCTATCCATCCTCACCTCAAACCCCAGAGCTAGACAGGGCCTGACATGAAATTGACCCTATCACGAGTGATATGTTTATGAAATATTGAAACCTTCCCACCACTTGTAGAGTGAAAACCTTAACATGTTTGCCTCAATTTGTTTCTACTTTCCTACAACAAAGGTTACATTTTGGCAAAAAGAAATTGCATTTTTTCTTAACAAATCTGTCTTTTTTTTTTTAACCTGAATTAACAGTTTGTTTTGGTGGGGAAGTGGAAAAAAAATCAGTAGAAAGGATTTATTAAAAAGTGAACTTGTTGGTAATATGAGAACTTTACATAAAATTGGAGTAATTTGATTCAGGTTTCAATTAAGTTTTACAAAAATCTGTATTGTCTTCTTGTATTTCTTTTTCTTTGGAACCTTATTTGGGACTTAGGAAGATCAAAGATAAATCAAATCTTGAGTTCCAACAAGCTGTTACAGTGGGTGTAGACAGGTAGAGAATTGAGACATTAGGGGTCTGAATCTATTCTTATCAGTTAGGTTCTTCACTAAATGAACATGCAGGATGGTAGTGTATTTGTTATTACTGCAATAAGCAGATAATATGGGAAATAAACTAGGGAAAACAAAGGTAGAATAAGCAAGCTATTTTTCCAAATAATGACTGAAAACTCAGTCTCACCCGTGGTCTTCCTATTGTGCAGAGATATTTGACTTTCCAAAATGCATGGTGATATGCCCACCTATGAGAGATGAAGCTCAAGTCCTAAGAATCTGTCTTGTGTTAGCCAGCTCAGTCTTAAACTAACTATAAACATTTCATAAAGTTTGTCAGAATTTCTTGTAAAATGATAAAGAGGATAAAGACAATAAAGATATCTGGTTTAATTGATTCTTTTCATTGTTTAATAAAATCGCTCTGTTTGACTGCTGGAGAATTTGGACTGAATTTTCATTACCTACTCCTGAACAATTTACACTGGGATCTAGACAGTATTGAACTAATGAGTTAGAATTTATATTGAACCTTAACTGTCTTCATGAAGTAGCAGGGGAAGGAAAATCATGGCCATAATTGAGTATTTTTTCATTATAAACTATGTTATATAGCTTTTACAATCAGGTTTTTAATAAATCTAAAGAAATTAAATTGGAATTTGACCAACTTTTGTGCTTTTGTTATCTCATGTAAAAGTATTTTTTAAAATGGTAAGGCTAATGGGCTAATGAAACTCCTATGAAAGTCAATGGAAATTAGAGGGTCCCTACTGTTGATCAGATAATTGTGAAAAGTACTATGAAAAGTTGCACAAAATACATGTTAATATAATCTTTAAAGGTTCAAGATTGGGGAACATATGAAATTAGTGTATGAATACATTTAATATGCTGCCCAATCTTGAACTTCATATATATAGTCCCACTGAAGTCATTGGAGCTTTCTGATTAAGAAGTTCAAGATTGAGCAGCATATTATATATATTCTCAGTGACATATAGATTTTTAAAGACCTATTCAGTTTAGAGGTCACTTAAAGTACACTTCCATAATGTAGAAATCAATAACTTTTTCATATAAATGAAATACTGATACCATTCTTTAACTGTGTTATTCTGTTTTACTGTGTTATATTGAAAAGTGCTGATGTTCACTGTAGTGAAAAATCTGTTTTCTCAGATACGTAAAATACTTTTATAGTCAGTATGTATTGTTCCAAATCATTTCTTGCTCCAAGTGGGGTTCCACAAGAAGAGGACTTGCAGGATTGGACTCATAATTTCTTATATTGAATGAAATGAAATATAAATTAACTATTTAATACTACAATATGTTATCCATACACAAGAGTGCATGTTGGTTGATGCCATCAGTGAGTAAAAATTTTAATTACTGTCTAATTTTATTTTAATACCAAAATTTAAGAACAAATATGAACATAATTAATATAGCCATAGTCAGACAATGAAAACGTTACAAGCGAACACCTCTACCACATATAAAACAATTGTTATATTTCTCTCCAATTCTACTTACTAAGAATTACAGAAATGTAAGTAAAACTGTTAATATAACAAATATTTACAATTCATTAAAATACATTGTTGATTTCTCACTGGAACTGTACTGTTTAAACTGTTCTTCTAGCCCAGGATTAAGAATTCAAAGTATATATACCTCTCAAGTGAACTAGTACAATCCTAACACCCATAAATTCATGTTTCTAACTATAAACGCCAAATGTTATCCTTACCTATCTATAAAGGTGGCTTTTCTTTCTATTGACTGAAAACAAAACCTCCCCCTTGCCCAACCCATACATTACAAACACTAATTTGTCAACCACAAAATGGGTTACATTGGTGGCCTTGCTTGTAAATTCAGACATTGCAAACTTGAAATCTTCCTGCATCCAAATAATTTATATTCATTCCCCACAGGCATCAGTGATGGTTCTTGGGATAAAGAAAAACTTCAGTCTCCCCCTACCCAAGGATCACAGGCCTCTTTTAACCATCCCAGCTGGCCTGGACAGCATAACCTTCCAGTTAGCCATCCTCTCAACCCTCTTCAACAGAGCCACCTTCTGCCAAATGGTACGGGTTGACATCTTTCAACACTAATATCAGTAGTTTTCAAACTCCTGTCTTTCTATTGTGTTTAGTTAAATAGGCTATGCAAAATAAAAAATGTGGTGAATACTGTAATACTTTAATTAAAGTATTCAGCAGTGGAAGTAGGGGTCATAAAAAAATAAAAACATACACAATAAACCTAACACTTAAATAACTATTAACCTGTGCATCAGTGGCATAATTATTGCTAAGACACCTTGCCGCAAGTATTAAAATGGACAATATAACAAACAACAATTGCTAAGCAATGATATGCTACAACATTACACTGATCTGAACAAACTAAGAGGTCTGTTAGCCTCTCCCTGTGCGTATAAGACCTCCATGGATACTAGAGGGAATTACACACGTACAAAAAGTGAACAGATTCATGTTAACTGCTCTATACTGAAATGTTGGAAGAGTTCATTTTTTAACACATTTGGTGCCAAGCATTTCAACATATTTTGCTCATAAGAAAAATATTCCTAATAGTCAATATTTAAAAAAACATTATAAACCAATATTTCCTGCCTTTTGTTTTTTTTTCTTAGGCCTGGAACTTCCTTTTATGATGATGCCCCACCCATTAATTCCTGTCAGCCTACCTCCAGCATCTGTCACAATGGCCATGAGTCAGATGAACCACCTTAGTACCATTGCAAATATGGCAGCAGCAGCACAAGTACAGAGTCCCCCATCCAGAGTCGAGACATCTGTTATTAAGGTAAACATCTAGAAAAATATCTGTGATACTAAATTAATTTCTTCACAGCATGGTACGTTATTAATGTAAGGCTGTTCTCATCAGATGTCATAAGGTAAGCAGTCATAAAGGCAAGGCTTGGTCAGTGTTTGGAAGGGAGGGCTCCAAAGAAAAACCCAGTTACTGTAGGAATTGATTTTGGGACTGAGTACTATGTTGGTAACTGAAAATTCTGAATACTGAGTACTGAATCAGTGCTCCAGTTCTACAGTTGAAGTTGCCATTTGTCAGATGAGATATAGATACTAACTACCCATGGCCAAAAATGATCTCCTGCCACTTTCCCAGGAAACTGGAGGTGAAATCCTGACCCTATTGAAGTCAGTGAGAATTTTGTCATTGACTACAGTGGGCCCAAGATGACACCAATCCTGTTGTTTATATCAGGTATTCCCAGCTGGAGGTCTGAGTGCCAGAACTAGAGTGACTAAATAAATTAATTGAAGAACATCTTGAGGTGCTCCCTCACCGTGTGCTGACCATGGTGTCTTTGTGGAACTCTCACCACTGCCTTATTCAGCATTAGAACACGAGTCTAGTAGAGTTGAATACTGACCTGACAACCACCAGGCCAGTACTGTAGCACTGTACAGAAGTCTGAACACTAATAACTTCCGTCCATCATAGGGATTAGTATAGCAACTAGCAACAAAGCATCTGGGTATTTCCCGCTTAAATTAGGCCCGCATCTCAAGGTCTCCAGTGGATTTCCTGGAGTCTTCTGCCTTCATTGGTGGAGGATGCTTTACTTGTATTATACATGTATTCTATCCCTTAATATTCAAACTATACAGTTTGATTCATCTAATATTTCCTTAGATATCTCCATTTTATCTGCTGTTCTTCCCTGATTCTAATAAATTAGATACAAAGAGTATCTTCTTGTTTGGTTAAAGAGAAAATGAGCTGATCAGAATATATGAGAAATAATGAATGTGTGCTTAGAGCAGTGCTGGGCAACCTTTGGCCCATGGGCCACACATGGCCCATCAGTGTAATCCACTGGCGGGCCACCAGACAGTTTGTTTACATTTGCATAGCCACCCGCAGCATCCAGTGGCTGCAGTTTGCTGTTTCCGGCCAATAGGAGCTGCAGGTAGCCATGCAAATGTAAACAAACTGTCTGGTGGCCCACCAGTGGATTACACTGATGGGCCGTGTGTGGCCCCTGGGCCACAGGTTGCCCACCACTGGCTTAGAAAGCTTCTCCTCCAATTTAGTGGGTTTCTTATTTTACAGGTTAAAGTGGTCCATTCAAATTTGGCATACCTCAAATTTACAACCCTACCTCTTGACTAAACTTTGGAGCCAGATTGTCATCAGTTCCTAAAAAAATGCCTGTGCAAGTTTTGCAGGCACATCATTGTGTATACAGAAAACAGATTTGCATGCATAATTTTATATGGCATTTTAGGGATCCACTGAAGATCTGCCCCTTAACGCAATCCCCATAATACAGAAAAAATTATCAAACCCAAAACAAGGTCCCTAACAGTTTTATCATTCTGGGTGGTTTAGTGACCTATAGGAACCTGAGTTTGTGGAGATATTTGATATAAGCATGCTGTTCTTGTACTTCCTCATTTTCTCGTTTGCTATGCCATGAGAAGCTTGGAATCATACTGAACCATACAATTGCAAATGCCTTTGAAGAGAAAAATAAAATGTATTTTAAACTTCTTTAAAAACCACCAAATCTGTATTACTGTGTGGATAGAAAGGTAAGGCATTCCAGTGACCCAGGACCACTAATGACAATGTAACTTGTATCATTCATGCAAACATTTGGGATCAAATGCAGCAACCTCAGAAAGTGAGAGAGTAAATAGGGTGTCAGAAACTAAGGCTGTGTCTATACCACACTGCAATGCAGACTATGGGGGTATGAATTGCAGAGTGCACCAAAGTGTTGTGCGCTAACTGCCCTGTGTTGATGCTGCTGGCACAAACTAAAAGGAATGTAGTTCACAATAACATAACCCTGTTTGAAGGAGGATTACATTAACACAAACTAGATACCTTTTAGTTCATGCCAGCAATGTCCACACAGGGCAGTTAGTGCACAACACTTTGGTGCACTCTGCAATTCATACCCCCGTAGTCTGCACTGTGATGCAGTGTGGACAAACCCTTACTATGGCAATTAGGACTAGGCCTATATATGGCTTTAAAAGTTAGGCTGCATCTTTTGTCTTGGTAGGCATGACGACAGCAGAAATCAGCATTGGAACCATGGTGCATGCAAATACATCTGAGACAACAGCCATGAAGTGGTGGTGACCATTTTGAATCTACCCTGTCATCTCACTCATGCTGCTAACTGTCACTACCTAGTAGCATGGTGATTTCTGCCCTTCAGTATGTTTTATTTTTCACTAGAATGGCAATTAGCAAAAGGTACATGTTACCAGAGATGTTCCCTGGGACATATTAGGTGTATATTTCATCCTAGATTTATTTTCTAAATTTCCATAGTGATCACTGCTTATTACATAGATATATGCTAATGAATATAAAGATATCGAGAAGATGATTAAGCACACACTAGCTGACACAGCATTTTGTTTGCTCATGTGGGAGTCTTGAAATATGATGTCCAATGTTCTTAGTTTTTTGCATCCTTAACATGTCCAAGTGTCTTCCTTACTTTTTATTATCAGAAGTACAATATCACAGTTTATATACAGCAATGGGAAATTTGATCTCAATCTGTTTTTGACATTCAAAAAGAAAATGTTCTATTTTTTAAGCTTGAACAAGTTGGCATAAAGTAGTTAGTAAACTCTGTAAAGCTGGGTGCCCGAGTTACCATGAGTGTAACTCTATGGGGCTTAGATGGAGAGTAAAACTATAACTAATAAATTTAAAACCTCTACACCCCCCAAAATCTCTTTATATTGCTCTGTGTCATCATGAATTCCATAGCTAGCAACTATACTTTGTAGCATCAAGGGGATCCAAATAAATGAGGCCAGGCTATCTTGTCTTTAAAACCAACAAGTTTTTTAATCCAGCCGGACTCTTCACACATTGATGTCTGTTTCCCTGACAGCTAAATACAAACACTTCCATCCCAAGAACACTTTCTCATTCTCTTTCCAATCCCCGAGCCTATTTTCAATTGCACCCCAGCTATTTGGGGAGAGAAACACACTACAAACGAAGGCAAAGATTTTTCAGATGGGATCTAATTTTCAGTGCCCCAATTTTTGGGTGCCTAACTTGAGACATCTGAAAGACAAATAGTTTTCCACTTGTCACTTGAAAATTATTAGTAAATTTTAAAAAATCTTGACCTTTTTATGTGTATGTGTGGGGTGACCTGCATAACTCATTCCAGAGGAAATCAGCCATCCTATATTCATGCTATTAAAACCTTCATCATAACTGTCAAATTTTGTGCAGCTCCATGTGACATTTTATGTAGATTATTTAATGAGACAATTTGCATAGTTATATCTAATTTGCATATTGTTCTTTATGCCATCTTTAAAAAAACATGTGGATTTATGTTATTTTTAAAAGCACCTAAGTAACTTATGGCTGAATTTCCATGTTCAAAAAGGTCTTGAGTCACTTAGGTGCTTTTGAAAATGTTGCTCTTATGGCTTGTGCAGCTCTGGTTACTGAAGCCATTGGTTTATCTACAGGGCAGCAGGGCAACCTTCCCCACACATCACCATGTCAACATGCCTCAATCCTGATTTGGGGGACCTTCCCATGCAAGTCACAGAGACAGCTCAGTCTCCATGGCCTGTAAAGTTCTTGATCTCTGCTGAATCTGTCAATTTATGCAAAGTATGGTGCTGAGTTTGTGATGTGGGAGCTGTGACCCATCTCATACAAGGAGCACCAAATGTTCATTAGATAGGTGCAGTTTTTAATCCCTACTGAGGTGAGCTGGATTCATGCTGGTAACCTACAGGAAAAAGGCTCTAAGGGTCACTAGCAATGTCCTGAGGCTTCCAGTTCCCTAATGTGTGTTAATGCTACACCCTCAAAAGCGAAGCTTGTTTTCTGTAAAGTTTATCATATCAAATTCTGACCTCTTAGGAATCTGCACAGTCAGGGTACTGTCTTCAGTCATTGTCAGACAAACCCTGTGATTTGTGGCCCACCCTATTCTTAAAGCGACATCTCCCATTAACCAAAATACAGACACTAAAAATACAGTAATAAAACAAATATTAACAGAACATCTAAATTCATACTTCAATATAATAGCTTACTTTATAAAAAAATTGTCAACAGGAGTGTGAGTAGCCTAGATAAATTTGCATATATTCCCTCTTCCCCCAGTTGGTCATCAGGCAAGTTTGAGCCCACAAGAAAGAAAAGAGAACAAACCAGATGTGACACATTACTCATCACTCTTAATGCACTACTGGAAGGTGCTTAGATACTGTGGTGATGGGAGCAGTAGAAGAACCTACATGGAATAGACTAGAGCTTTCAGATCCCCTGCACAGCATTCTACCGTTTCATCTATAGCAGTCCTGGTAATGTAGATGTGCTATCCTCCTTTATGAGGAGCAGCCCATAGAGGGAAACACAACACACACTTTGTCACTGGGTCACACAATTATTTCTGAACGAGCACTAGAATGTTGGGTGTCAGAATTCCTCTGTTCTCTTCCTGGCTCTGGGAACAGAATATGGCCTAGTGTAGCCAAGTGTAACAACACATTTTTATGTCATCTGCAGGGATTTAACCTGAAATCCCCAGATCTTAAAGCATGGGTTGTGGTCTAGCCACTAGAGAGGGACAAACATCCATACTGTGTCAGTATGTGTTGGACAAGCACATAATTTGGACCATTTCTTTTAAAAACTCATGTGGGAAAGCTGGTAAGATTTGGGTGTTTCATCCTGGGTTTTGTTCCCAGTAATGATGGCTCCAACCTCTGCATTATCTTATGTGTAAAATGAATGAAATATAATTGCTTATGCTGAGGTTGGGG